CTCTTGCGAATCCGACGATGGCGTCCCATCCGCTTTTCGGCATGTGTTGGGCCTCTCTTTGCGTCTTTTCCGTGATCTCCCAGATTGAGGCAGACGGACGTAACACTTTCTGCTCGTCGAGAGCATAGGATAAGCCATAAATGAGGCCTTCCAAATCTTCGACCTCCTCCTGCGTTATTTCGCCCTGTCTTTCCACCGTCTCGGCGTACGTCTTGATCTGTTGGACTTCCGCCATGAGTTCCTCGTCATCTAGATAATCTATCAAGGCTTGAGTTCCGGCCGCTGTGCCGGCTCCACCGAACATGCCGGTGGAGATCTTCAGGTACTTCGCCACCCGAGGGTGCGTTCGTTTGAGGTAACCGAATGCCCGGTGTACCTTGGGGATCCTGAAAATTCCCCTGCTTCCGAATGCCGAGGCGATCCGGATTGTCCGTCCAGCCAGTTTGGGCAGTAGTTTCTTTGCGCCCTTGAGTATCACCTTTGCCGGACCAGCGCTTGACTCCGAAGAGTACAATGCGATTCCGACCAAGATGACTACTGTGGCGGCGGCGATGGCGTAACTTCTCATTTTCTGATTGATTGGCTTTCTTTCTTCTTCCTTGATGATTTGACTTTTCCAAGTCGAGTGATTGCTTATTGAGTTCTATTGGCCTTTTATAGTTGTTGGCCTGAATTTTGGAGGGGGGGAATTTTTTCCCCATCCCTAGTTGCTTCCAACGGGAATATATTGTGGATACTCCTCGTGATGAGCAACGGCGCTCCTTTCTTTATTTTCCCATCCGCGTCACGCGGCGGAAGTGCCAGTATGACGGAACGAATTTTGTTGTCCCGCCCCATTTTGACTTCTTGAATCCTGGCGACTGGCCATTGGTTGCGCTTCATCTTTTCCTTTTCCAACAACACCAACTCTCCTTGTTTAACATCGGGCTTGTCTTCTTGCCATTTATTTCGTTGTTGTTGTGAGGTGAGATATCGATTGGACCACGTCCTCCAAAACTGGTTCACGATGGCCTTTCGATGCTTCCATCTCTCCCTGAGGTCGGCGTGTTGCTGTAGATCCGTCTTGTCGAATCTATCTGGCCATGGCCTTAGTTTTCTCCCGAGTACCAGGAGTGAAGGGGTTATAACGCCAAACGAGTCTGTTGATTCCTCGTGCAGTGGCCGATCATTGACTTGTCCTTCGATCTCTTTGCACACTGTTAACATCTCGATGTATGTGAGAAGGGCGTTTTGTACCACCTTCATCAAAGGCGCTTTTACGGCCTTGACCATTCTTTCCCAAATACCACCTGTGTGTGGGGCTAACTCTGTCGAGTATCTCCATTGGAATTCGTACCTTTCGGTCAAAATGGTCATTGCTTTGTTGTTGTGTTCGAGGGTCTCCAAAATTTCTTTCTCCGCCCTCTTAAACGTCTTGGCGTTGTCGGAGTACATGCACTTGGGCATTCCTCTCGTGTTCACCATGCGTTTGAACGCCATTAGGAACTCCTCTGTGTGATTGGATAAAACCACTTCCACGTGAATTGCTCTCGTGGTGAGGCAGGTAAAAATGACGATGTATCCCGGAATTGTTGCGGTACTCTTCGATCTGAGATGTGGTTTCAGTTGTATGGCTGCTGTGTAGTCTACTCCCACGTGTGAGAAGGGGAGCTCTTGAGTTACTCTCCCCTTTGGTAGATTTGCCATCAGTTGAGTCGCTCGTCGGGCATTTTGTTTCTTGCAGGCATGACATTGGTGTACCACCGATCTTGCTAATTGTCGACCGGCGATTATCCAGTATTTTTGTCTTAGATGGTAATGGATCCAGTCAATGCCCGCGTGTTGGTTTTGTTCATGTATCTTTTGGGCTAGCATTTTGCTGATAGGATGCTCTTTGGGAAGGATTATTGGATGCTTTTGTGTGTGGGGCAAGGCAGAGTCTTGTAATCGTCCGCCTACCCTCATTAATCCTTCCTCATCAATGAAAGGGCTGAGATTGCCTAGTCTCTTCCCCTCTTTTATTGTCTGTCGTTTATTTAACAGCATGAGCTCCTTCGCATAATGTTTATCTTGTGCTGCCCTTATCCAGTGCCGCCAGGCTTTAGCGCGGTGTGCATCTTTCAGCTCCGGTGCGGTCATCTGTCTTTCTTCTTTTTTCATTCTCCATCTCTCCACGCACAAATATAGTGTTGCGGTGTGCTTCAACAACCCGTCGTATGAAGAAAAGTAATCTTCCAAATCGACTCGCTCCCCCCTCGCATTGTTCATCGGGCGAGTGAGAGAGATGTAGAGGAACACATGCTGTTTCCTTAATCCCTCTTTTGGATCGACTTTGCTGAAATCGACCTTTGGGTGTTTCCACTCCCATCGTGGTAGAGACAGAAATGCGGGGCCTTTCAGCCACAGGTCATCTTTAAGACCTTCTACTAAACAACCTCTGCTGGCAATGTCCGCAGGGTTTTCTTTGGTCGAGATGTATTGGAATGGTATTTTGATGTTTTGTATTTTCTCAACCCGGTTGGCAACAAATGGGACGAGGTGGTTTGGATTCTTGGTCAACCACCATAACGTTACCTCATTGTCGGACCAACAGTAGATTTGATCTTTGCTGATTTGGAGCTCGGTCATCAGAAAGGTTGCCATTTCACTTACTAATAACGCGGCTTTTAGCTCCAGGTTGGGAATGCTTATTTCTTTCATGGGTGCCACCTTTGCTCGGGCCATCAATAGTTGAGCTTCGTATTTATTCTTGGCTGCGTTGTATGTTCGAACGTACGTTACCGCGCCGAAACCCGTCTTTGAACTTGCATCTCCGAACACATGGTATTCTGACTCGGAGGAATTTTCTACAAAACGGGGAAATTCGAGCTCTTCTAATTGCTGTATCTGTTCAACCCACGCTTCCCAATCGGATAGGATTTCTCCTTCCAATTTATCTTTCCAGTCTAATTTTAGCTGGAACGTCGTTTTCATCACTTTTCGTGCTAGTAAGACAAATGGGGAAATTAGACCTAAGGGGTCATAAAGCTTGGCCAGTAGGCTCGCTACGCTTGTTTTGGTGTTCTTGTTTTCCTCACTTAGTCTTCCGTGTTGGTTAAAGAGGATGATATCTTTCCCCGGGTGCCATCTGACTCCTAGCGTCGATGTTTCCGCGCTTATCTCGTCGGGCGTTGGGGAGCGCGAGTAAAGCGCTTCGGTCGGAGCTCTTTCATCCGCCGGTATCTCCTTCAATATCTCAGGGTCATTCGTCGCCCATTTTCTGACAAAGAAATGCCCCGCCTTTAGCACGTTTTTTATTCCATTATATAATTCTATGGTCTCCCCCCTGGTTGCTCCCCCAGTGGTTACGTCGTCTACATAGGTATTATTTTTTATCACCTCACACACCCTTTTTTCTAACGGCGTACAGTTGGCGTCTTCTACCTTCCTTTGAATTATCTTCTGCAGGCAAGTGAGCGCTTGAAATGGAGAATCTGTAGCTCCGAAAATAAGGGTCGTAAATCGAAATATGTCTGGGGGTAATCTTTTCCCATCTCGCTGGGCCAGAGGAACCTGAGAAAGTCTCGATCTTCTTCTCGTATGTCGATGTTGAGAAACATTTTACTTATATCCCCAACTAAAGCATACTTTCGCATACGAAATCTGAGCTCTATTGCTACAATATTTAATTGCAATGGTGGACCTGCGTACAGGCAGTTGTTTAAGGATTTTCCCGTGGATGTTTTGGCAGATGCATCAAATACTATCCTACATTTTGTTGTTACTCGAGTCGTGTCGTAAACGGCTCGATGGGGAAGATAATAAACACCTCGTTTGTTTTCCGGTTGTCTATCTATCACCTTTTCAACTACGCCTGAGCTAAAGAACTCTTGCATCGATTTTCGATATGCTTTACCTAACTCCGGGTTTTCTTCCAGCTGCTTGATTCTTGCATCTAATCTGGTTTTAACTCCTCGGTAGTTATTTCGTAGGTCTGGATGTTCTTTCCAGAGCAAACCGGTTCGAAATCTTGACGTTTCTTCATCTAGGGTCAGCAAGTTTTCTATCATGTCTACCGCCCTTACCTCGTCTCTCGTTAATTCATGAGAGGAATTATCAAATGGGAGCTCTTCCAGCTTCCACATCATTTCTAATGCTTTCGCGATCCTTTCGGTACTGGACATTAAACATACAGGCTCATCTTCTTTTGGCTCTTTTGTCCAGTCCGTCCCGCAGGGTACATGGCCCCACGGTGTCTTTAACAGTACAAACGTATCTGAAACGCGGATCGCTACTTGCTGAATTAATTGCCAATATTCGCCGATTCCTACTAAGATATCGACTTCGCACGGCGGACGCGGAAAGTTTTCATTTAACCGGTACTGCTGCTTTACGTGCGTCGGCATATCTAAACTATCGAGGGAAAGAATATGGTCCGTAGTAAATGCATTAAATTTTATTTCCCTATTGCGGGCTTTTAACGTGACGCATACCTTATTTGATTTACATTCTCTCGTAGTTTGCAATGATTTTATGGATAAATCAATCTCTCTCTCTACAATCGGACAACGAAGAACTGAACTTGCGCTTACCGTAACAAACGAGTGTGAGGAAGCAGAGTCCATCAGAATCCGAATGGGTCGGGACTTTACTTGTGGCTGATAATAAATGGGTAGCAATCTCTCCTTCTCTAATGTGGAATCAATGGAGTTGCACTCAATAGAAATGATTGGTTGAAATTCTTTGATGTCTTCCTTGTGACACACCTTCTCTGATGTTGGAAGATCGAGGTTTCCTCATTGGGTTCTGTCATGCAGCGCCTGTGGGGGGATTTCTCACCCCCATCCATGCCACACTTCCACTCTCACGGGCCTTATGGTTGACCCGGATTCTGTTGAGGCACCTTTTTTGCCTTTGTCACCAGCAGGACTTCATCTGCAGGTGC